CACCTCACAGAGCTATTTTAGACACCTCTTGGCCATAGCAAGTCTGTATAAGCCCCAGACCAGTGCCTCCAAGGGGGTTGCCCTAGACCAAATGAGAGCATGCCTGGCTTCTGGGAATGAACTCCGCATACCATGTGTGACTGAAGTCACATTCTTTTCATGCACTCAGTTGCACATCACACATTCATCCAACCCAACAAACTTAGTCCAGAAGGTATCACAGCGTCCTCCTGAATAACCAAAACCCAACAAACCAAATTCAGGAGTACTGGTGCATACCTAGGGGGTAATCAAGCCCCTCTTCTGTCCTCTCATGAATGGGCCTATTGTGATGGACCTGGGTCCTACCTGTTCCAGATGGGTGCTGCTCCAAATTTTCCTAGTTCCTGAGGCCTCTACCCGTTGGCATGTACAGACCTGACAACTCAGACTCCATGGGAGGCTTCCCTAGCCATCCAGACTAAGTGTCCAGAAGCATGCCTTGGCTGGATTGTATCCCCAGGAGTCCAGCCACAGCCCAACAGCCAGGGAGGCAAAAATGACAACTGTGGTCTCTTCCATTCCCAGCCAATGCACCAGAAATGTTGTGGGAAATGAGGGAAACAAAGTCACTGAGATTATTTTTACAAGAAGCAGGGAGTTTACTGTGCTAATGGACTCAGGGGAGATAATTTCTCAAAGCTCTGAGCCCCGGACTGTGACAGGAGTTGAGTTAAATACTTACAGAGTTTTCCCCTTATCCTCCTTTACTACCTCCCCACTTTTTAGTGTGTGGTTACAGTTGCTAGAAAATTTGCAAAGCTAGCAGGTGGCTGCAGTGTTGCAGAGCTAGCAGAAAGTGCTTGTAGACTCAGGATGGGGAAACCAAGGTGAATACCAGACACAGTAAATCCCAGGAAAATAGCCAAGCTACAATAATACACTCATTCCCAGGTCACTGGGCTTCTAGGTTGGGCAGGGGAACAGGGACCTGACTCATGGAGCCTACCATGATTGCCTGCCTGTCGTGAACCAGATTCTCATGAGTACGGAAGTGCTGTTAGACCCTACACAAGTGACCGCAAATGTTCCTACCTTTCAGTCAAGGGGACCACACCTTTGCCCTGTATGATTCTCTTGATACTTTTCCAGTAGTTGAGCCTGAGGACTCAATTTCAAGATTGGACTCATTCGGGATGTCTTGCAACTAGTGGAGTAAGGTTTGAATGGTTTCCCAAGGCATAGGAACTAGAATATGCAAGTGTTTGGGGAGTGAGGCTCAGCTTGTGTAAGGAAACAGAATTTGACTTTCTTAAGGGAAATGAGAGCAGTAGTGCAGATGACAGAAGTGGCCTGGCATTCTCAGGTGGTGATGTCTATTCTAGAGGTAATGGGGATAGTGAAGGTGGTAGAATAAAGGAGGAGGAGTTGTGCCCTGCTTTCACCAGCACATGTGGCTGTAGCATGGAAACCAGATTGTGTAGGGAAGGAAGTAGGAAAAACAAAGAAACTACTATAGTTATCCAGGTGACAGTACCAAAGTAGTACCACATGTGGGAAATATGGTTGGGATTCTGAGTCAGCTCTTTGGGTCTGCCTGGATTTTAGTGACACAGTGTCACCACAAGGTTTTTGAGCTTAGCAAGGAAGGATTGAAGTTCTGTTATGTGGGATGGTGAAGTTCATAGTAGGAATAATTATCATTTTTGTTTTGTTTCAGTGATACTGGGATTTGAACTCAGAGATTCATGCCTGCTAGGAAAGTGCTGCACAAGTTAAGACATGCTTCCAATCCATTTTGTTCTGGCTATTTTTGAGATAGGGTCTCACTTTATTATGCTTAGGCCATCTTGGTCCAGGATTCTCCTATTTTATGCTTTTCACTGGAGTTGGGATGATAGGTGCATGCCAAAACATCCAATTTTTTCTGCTGAGATGGGGTCTTGTGAACTTGTATACCCAGACTGGCCTCGAACCTCCATCCTTCCATTCTCAGCCTTCCAATAGCTGGGATTACAGGCATGAGCCACTTTGCTTAGATGTGATAACTGTCATTGGAGATAGAAGTTTTATTTTTGGTCGTCTAAGGAGTTTGAGCTGTCTTAAGGAATAATAGTAGAGACATGAGGCAGGTATCTAACTTGAAACTGAGGAAGGGAGCAAAACGCAGACATCCAGCATTTGTAGCCAGCATCTGTACCACAATGTAGCTGTGAGTCACAGTGAAGAGTAAGCATCCTGTTCATGGCAGTAATGCCCAGGAAAGGAATGTTAACTGGGTCCTAAGTTTGGGAACCTGAGTGTGTGTGGGTAGTGAACATCATAAATATGGTTTGAAGATGTGACCCTGGAAAGGTGGGGAGAGGATGATCTGGTTGGTGATCAAGGATGCCAATGGATGAGGCATATGACATGGAAGCTGATGCCTGAGTATAACTGAGCAAGATGACTCAGATTCCAGGATGTGTGCTTTTTAGCTGTACTTTGAATGTAGGTTACTTTATGTGACCCCTGGCATATTTGGGACCTTTTGATAATGTAAATGGATTGCTTTAGGATACAAGTGGTCATGAGGAAGGAGTATCTCTGTGTCTGTGGAAGAGGAACACTCAGACTGGTCTCAGAATGAGGATTAGTAAGAACAGAAAGTCTGTGACTAGTGTAATGTGAGTAGGAAAGGTCCAGGGTTGTGTAAGATCCGTAGGTGATTCTTGGTGGCTGAGGTTGAATTGAGGAACAGGATCAGGCAGAGAAGCCTCCATATCAGTATGGGGATGCCTGTGGCAAAGGGGGCTGGCAGTATTTTGGAGTTGCCTTGGATCATATTTCTGTTTTCCATGTTCTCTGGGTGCTTGCTGCTGAATTACTTGTTGAAAGATCAGAGATAATACTGTGAAGTGGGCAGAGGGTAGAGATGTTCTGCTGTGTGAGAGAGGGGTGTTACAGAGACTGATAAGCACAGGGAAGAGTAATGTGGATGATGTCCACCAGGTCCTGTAACAGAGGTTATGAAATGGTCCCATTATCTTCAGCTGTGTGTTGGATGTATAATCTGGGGTCCTATGGAACAGCTTTATGAGAACCCTCTGAGTTTGGATGCAAGTTTCTGAATTTAGAGTGGCCCTCTGCCCACATCCCTGTTGCTGCAGAATGACAGTGATTAGGCATAGGTGGCATTGTAGCCTGTTATCTCTGTGAGGTAGAGAGATGGGAATGCAGGTCTGAAGAGAATGGTTGAATCAGGCAGTGAACTTGGGGGTCATAGGAGAGAAGCTGGTCATAAACATTCCTCATTGTGGCTGGGCTGTGTGACCTTTGAGAACCTGGCCATTTACTTCTTCCAGGAAGGGTGGGGTCTCCTTGATGAGGCTGAGAACTGCTGTAACTCAATCAGTGTGACCATACTTAGTGTGATCTACTCAACTGTCGGTTTTGCTTTTTTTTTTTTTTTTTTTTGGTGATGTGTGGGACTGGTAACTGAACACAGAATCTAACCCAAGATAGCAAGAGCTCTACTACTAAGCTTCACGTTGACTTTAGTTTAATTTTTATAGAATTAGAGAGATAAAGGTTCAGTGTGTTGCTGGCAGAGTGGCTCAAGTGGCAAAGTACCTGTCTAGCAAGTGTGAAACCCTGAGTTCAAACCCCAGTACCACCAAAAAAGAAGTTTCTGTGTGTTCAAGTGACATGTGTGCATGTTTATTGAAATGTATCAAGGATTTTTTGTTTCATTTTTGCCATAATGTTGATTCAACTCAGGGCCTCACCCATGCTAAGCCAATGGCCTACCATTCAGTTACAACACCAACTCACTCAAGGATTTAATAGATATTGTAAGATACACAGACACAAATGATTGACACTGAGCAAGTTTTTACCCACAAATTTATCAAAACAAAGTGGATTGTATATTCGTGATACAGCCACATTTGTTAGTTGGTCTGGAAGCAAGAGAGGATAAGAAAGTTCACAGCCAGAGCTGTTTTGTGGTCTTTCCAGACAAGGAAGGGTATGTGTGCTAATTGCGGATAGTGTAATTTTGTAAATTTACATAGGTTCTAGTATCTAGGAAAGGTCCCTTCTCCAGCTTTATTTCCATCTCCTGCAGTACAGCTGTATAGTAAATTTTTCCACCACAAACAACAAACAGATTACGATTTCCATTTCAACCTCCGGATGTGGCCAAACATGGTCAAGTAGGAACAGAGAGACAAAATTCATGGAGACAGTGGCATATCCTGGAAAGGTCAGGAATATTCCAACCGGCTGTTAATCCTTCAGACCCTCTCCATTTTAGGAACGCTTTTTAGGAAAGTTGCCCTCTTCACTGTACATTGAATAAAGTTCAGACTCTTTCCTCCAATGTCCTGTTATGTGGTAATAAAGAATGGATATTTGGCTCTGAGAAAACTGAGTGACAGTCGTTAAAAAGAGGTGCAATGAGAGTGTCAGCACCTCTAAGATGGACTTGAGGACAATGGGCTGAGACATCCCTGGCTCAAATTTTCAGTTTTACCCAGGGAATTCAGGGGGATCCTGTGCTTTTCACCCAGCGGGGGGGTGGGGTGGGGGAGGGAGACAGAACTCCAGGAGAGCTTCTGAGACTGGAAGAGCTCCTCATTCCCAGAGGGCCATGTATCTCTTGGGGCATCAAAGACATCAGAGACCCTGACAACCCAGCAGGATTCCTTTTGCTGGGCACATGCTAAGTCTGCATCCTCCCGCCAGGGGTGGAAGACTCACAATCTAACACAAGAAGGTGCAGGCAGGAGACTGGGAGGAGACTGCGCTGCCTTCTATAAGAAGAGCCTTCCTGCTCAAGATCAGGGATCAATGGCGCTCTGGAGGATAAGAGTCCCGCCCTTAAATTCCAGCCAAATCATGTGGTACGCCCCTGCAGGCGGTCGTTGACTTCCATAAACTACGTTACCCACAATGCCGCCCGGAGAGTGAACGCGGAGAACGACTGCTTCCGGGTTTGTGCACAGATTCTAGGCGGGACTTCCGGCATCACGGCCTAGGGGGAGACAGAACGGCTCTGAAATCAGGTCTCGCGATCAGAGTTCTTGTCTCGCCAGTCAGGATCTGCTGACCAGAGCTGTCAGTTCGATTAAAGAGTCGTCCCAGCTGCCCACCGACTGTCTGAGGCACTGAGGAAGTGCCGCGTCCCACGAAACTCACCGTTCCAGAGCTCCACGAGGGGCCTGCTTACGTCACCAGGTAATGATGGCGGATGGCCCCCATTACTGACACCGGTGTGGTGGGGTGTGGGATAGTGGGACAGGCAGGGGACTGGTTTGTTGGGGCTCTGGAGCCCGGAGCATTGGCCCCTCCATGGAAAGGTGAGGAATTCCACCACTGTCCTCAGGCTCCGGGAGCCCTGGAGGCTGTGATGGAGGAGGAACGGGGTCTGGGTTAGCCTCTTCAAGTTTTCCAAACGCTGCGCAGAGTTAGAGCACCCTGGAATGGGGTGACACCGATGCCCAGGAAGAGTGAGTCCTTGTGTCACATCCTCAGGTGGAAAGAGTCAGCGATGAGGACTGTGTTCTGAAGAGAATCCAGGCATCTTGACGTCACTTAGCTCCAGGTCGGGCAGGGGGCAAAGGGGCTTGGGCCCACGAAGCCCCACCATGGTCACTGTGTCACCTCCTTCATCCCACAGGTTCCCATGACTACAGCAGTGCTTATGGATGGCACCCAGGTGAGTGGAGGATATTCCAGGACCTCATGGGTGTGACCCTGCTCTGTTTTTCTGGTTGTGTATTTATTTTTTCTGCCATTATTCCACATTATTGCCCTGAGAGGAGGTGGGGCACGGGTGGAGGCACTTAATAAAATGGTTTCTATTGTAACTTTTGGCAACCAATGATGAGATGAAAGGCTACCCACCTAAGTCCACATATGGGGAAATGCTGGTATATGAGGCTAAACTTGCTCCTGACCTCATTCCTCTTTCTTATGTGAAACTAGAGCAACAAGCAGAAACCAGGCCTAGGATGTCAGGTGTCTATTCTGGAGGTGATGGGAGCAATAGGAGGTTTGGAAAAGATGAGGAAGGTGATTGGACCAGATCTCATCAGGCTCCCTGGGACTGCAGCAAGAACAGACTGTGTAAGAGTTAGGGATGCAAAGTACCTAGGAGAGGCTGCTAAAAAAGTCTAATTGTTATGGCTGCATCAATGTGGTGGTTGGAGAGGTAGAAGATGAGGTTGGGTTCTGAATGGTATTTTATTAGGAAGCCTAGATTTTCCTCTTTTGAGGTTGAGAGAATGAGACAAAAATTGAGTTAGTCTAAGTTTTTGGAAAGCAACTGGGAATATGGAAGCTGTATAACTAGATGATAAAGTTGTCAGTAGCATTAGGTATTGGGTTGGGGTGTAGCTCCTAGGTTCAGTTCCCAGTACTGCAAAAAAAATAGCAATTTTCATTGGGAATAGTAGGGATTTTGTTTTGACCATCTTAAGAGTGAGATACAAAGCTAGGTTTGGATGTACATGCCTATAATCCCAGCTCTTCTAAAGTGAAGGTAGGCGATTTGGAATAGAGTCCATCCTGGGCTTCAAAGAAACAAAAAACACAGATTTTTCCAAAGAGTGTTTGTGGAGCTATCCAGTTAATAGAGATGGCCAAACAGAAATTAGGAGAATTAATCATGGAGACATTCGCAAAGGTTTGCCCTGCCTGTATCTTGAGTTACAATAAGGAAATGGAATCAAGTTTTTATGTTTTTCTTTTGTATTTTTGAAACTGTTCTTTTTACTAGGGTTTGAAATCAAGGCTTTGCACTTGCAAATCAGGTGTTCTACCATTTGAAGCATACCTCCAGCCCATTTTACTCTGGTTATTTTGGAGATGGGGTCTTTTGAACTATTTGCCCAACCTTGCCTTGAACCGTGATCCTCTCGATCTCAGCTTCCCAAGTAGCTAGGATTACAGGTATAAGTCCCAGCCTAAAATTAGTTCATGTTATTTTGTCCAGGCTGACTTTGAACTCTTGTGGTCTGTGGTCATCCCAAATCAGCCTCTCAAGATCTCCGATTATGGGCATGAAGCACCATGCACAGCAAAATCATGGTGTTGATAATAATCCCATTAGCAGCCCAGGACAGGATGGTGGGGTCCAGGACTAGGCCTTATACTTGAGTATCTGGGTGTTGTTTTGGGGCATCATAAAGACAGCTGTTGCAGTAAAGTAGTTGTAGGAACAATGCAAGAAATTGGATGATCTGGCAGGTTGCCTAGGCTATAGGAGTAGTGGGACATTAGTCACATTCAGAAACATAGAGTAAGTGGGGCAAGATGAAAGTGTGGTCTGTACCAGCATCTATTTGTGAGATTTTGGGGCTCACCACATTTAGGAGTGACTGTTGGAATGTCAGGAGAGTTTCAGTCATATGGGTGAATTGGCCCTTGGACATAAATAGTAATTTGGGATGATTATTCGGTCTGTAGTGCAGTATCTCTCACAACAGGCATTGGGTTACAGTTAAAGAGGGCAAGGCTGTGACTGCTGAAGGGATATTGCAACACAACTACAAGAAGGACTTTGCTTGTCTTGAATCCTGAGGTGACATGATAGCTGAGACCGAAGCAAGGAACAGAGTTAGGCAAGAGGCATTCAGAGCAGGGTGGAGGCTGCCTCTGACAAAGGAAGCATCAGAAGTCTGGGGAGCAGTGGGTCCTGCCTCAATTTGTGGATGCCTTGTGCTAGTTAGTTTAATGGAATAGGAAGACGCCTCTGATGTGGGCAGGAGGACAGGAGTGCTGGAGGGCTGAAGGTGGCAGCAGGAGTGAGTGTGTGTAAGCGATGTGGTCCAAAAAAACATGCAGATGTTCAGGGAGAAGGGGACAGTGAGCCTACCACTTGTTGGCATTGGCATTGAGGACATAAGGTGAAGTGTTGTATGTTGAGGCACAATCTAGAGAATTTTCATAAATTGGCTAACAGAAGTAGCCCATTTTTTTTCCAAGGTCCCTAGTTACCTGGCTTCTCTTGGCCCAACTGCCTGTTGGTGTTGTAGGAGGACACAGTGATATCCAGGACATCATGATTGGTGAGCTTCAGTGGTCCTGTGCCTGGTTTCTCTTCAGAGGTATGAGAGAGGGAGGAGAGTAAGCAATAGAACAATGTGTGGGTGATGAACTTGAAATCCTTGAAAGAGAAGTTGATCATTTGATGATATGTCCCCGTCATGATAGGGCTCTGTGAACTTTGAAGATGTGGCCATTTACTTCTCCCAGGAAGAGAGGGATCTCCTTGATGAGGCTCAGAAACTCCTGTACCTTGATGTGATGCTGGAGAACTTTGCACTTACGATCTCACTGGGTAAGGTCCTCACATCAATACTGTGTCATGTTTTCTGTCTATTTTCATTTTCCCCAGAGGCAGCTATGCTCTTTCCTTAACCAGTATGTAGGCCATGGTGACTTTCCCACTTCCTTTGCATGTGTGCTATTGGTATGAGTGCTAGCTGTGCTTACTGCCCCAGATAGCCCTGACATCATTGCCACAAAGATATTGTGGAAGGGTCTGGGTGGCAGAAGTCTTGAGTCAGCATGATGGATCTTATTTGCATTGCCCTCTTCTTGGTCAGATGACTGTGTTCACATGTGTGACACACTCCACACTAAGTTTTGTCTCCTAGATATTCCTCATAGCTCTCTTTTGTCAGAAGTTGAAGGCATTTCATAATCCAACACTATTGGAGACCAGACTTTTTTTTGCCAGATCTGGCTTCCAGGCTTTAGTGTAATACTTTCTTACAAATTTTTGTATATTGAGGTGTTCTGGGCTACTGCTGATCACGCATCTGTCCTGTGTTTCTTTAAGGGTCACATCATGCTATCCCTATGTAGTTGGACAAATGGGGGTATCAGGAGTCTCCTGGTTGTTTTGTAGGGTAGACATGGCAAGATAGTGTGAGAGGAGGTGTGGTCTTAATGAGTTGGTACTTGGCAGGACTCCAGGTTTATATTCAAGTCATGCCAACAACCTTCAGTTTGTACAACAGTATTGTATTTCTCCCCCATACTTGACACTTGGCCCACTTGTCATTTCATCTCTGACTTTGGCCTCTTGCTGCACCAAACTTTGTGGTCTCTGAGTATCATTTATTCCTCTGCAAGGCCCCCTCTCAGTGCTCTCCAACACTGATCCACTTCTAGTTTGTTTTGAAGTGTGCACATATTCCTAACTATTTCTCACCATAGTTCAAATTATTTTCCTGAGACTAGACCCAAGCACTCTTACACCGAATGTACAGGTAACCAGCCTGCAAGTTTTTACCGATTATGACTTTGGGGATGCTGCATGGCATGACATGGTTGGTAGTACCATGAGATGGTTGCACCTAAAGTATGTTTGTCCTTAGTGAGTGGGTAATCCTGCCTGTTCCTGTGCTACAGCTTATCCTTGTATCCACTGGACTTGAGGCCCAGTGCTGTAAACCATCCCTTCTATAAATTGAATCCTGCTTCCATACCCTCCAGTTTTTTTGGGTCAGGGGGGTAGCTCAGTAATAATGTACATCTCTAGCATGTGCACGGTCCTGAGTTTGATCCCAATACCACAAACATACCAATCCCATGCACTTCTTTTCTTTGGAGCGAGTTTCCCTTCCCCCATAGTCTACATGCACTCATTATCATTTCTTTGACTTCAGGTTGTGAGTATAAAAGAGAGTGTGAAGAAAAATCTGTGCAGAACATTTCTGTGGAAGGAGTGTTACACTTAACTGCAAAGGCATGTCCATCCACCCTGAAGACTCATGCCTGTAACATCTGTGTCCCAGTCTTGAAAGACATTTTGCACCTGACTGATCCACCTCTGCATAACCTGTATGTAACTGGGGTATGTGCAAGCAGTTCCAAGAACCAGAAGCATGACAGTGCAGAAAAAACCTTGAAGAGACACATAGGTGGGACCTCATTTGGGAAGAGCTATGAATTTTGTGTGTCAGGAAAGACCTTTAATTGTTTGGAGCTTTGGAAAGATTTCCCAGCTTTTTTTGACCTTCTGCAGCCCCAGTTCATTTCTAAAGGTGAGAAGCCAAACAGCTCTGACTTGGCAGAGGCTTTTCACAGTAGAAAATGTAATGACAAGGTGTTTAAATGCAGGGAAGAGTCCAGTCACAAAAATACAGCTTTTCATAACCTGTTATTATACATTGGAAAATCTCATGAGCACAGCAAGAGTCAGGTAGTGTTCCACAATGAGTGCTCACCTGTTCAGCTCCATAGTGTAGAAAGGCCTTATGGGTGTAGAGAATGTGGCAAATCCTTTAAGCGATTAGATGCCCTTACTGTACACCACAGAGTCCATACTGGAGAAAGGCCCTATGAGTGTGCAGAATGTGGCAAGTTATTTACTCGAAAAAGTTCCCTTACTCTACACCAGAGAGTCCATACAGGAGAAAGGCCTTACCAGTGTGGAGAATGTGGCAAGTCCTTTGCACGAGTAGGTGCCCTTACTGCTCACCACAGAGTTCACAGTGGAGAAAGGCCTTATGAGTGTAGAAAATGTGGGAAATCATTTAAGCTACGAGGTGCTCTTACTGCACACCAGAGAGTCCATACTGGAGAAAAGCCTTATCAGTGCATGGAATGTGGCAAATCTTTTAAGCTGGAAGGTGCACTTAAACTGCACCAGAACATTCATACTGGAGAACGGCCTCATAAGTGTGGCAAATGTGGAAAATCTTTTCTTCGACGTGACAGTCTTCTGAATCACTGCACAATTCATTCTGGAGGAAATTCTGTACAGTGCTGTGAATATGGGGAAACCCTGAGACAGAATGCTAGTCTCATTAGATATCAGGTAGTTCACCCTGGAGAAAGGCCTTATGAGTGTAGAGAATGCGGAAAGTCATTTAAGCTACGAGGTGCCCTTATAGTACACCAAAGAGTCCATACTGGAGAAAGGCCTTATGAGTGTAGAGACTGTGGAAAATCTTTTAAGCAAGTAGGTGCCCTTATAGGACACCAGAGAACTCACACAGGAGAAAGGCCCTATAAGTGTAGAGAATGTGGAAAATCATTTAAGCTAGGAGGTGATCTTACTGTACACCGTAGAGTACATACTGGAGAAAGGCCTTATGAATGCAGCAAATGTGGGAAATCATTTACACAACTCTCTGGTCTCCTCCATCACCAAAAGCATCATAGAACAGAAATACCCCATGAAGAGAACAAGGGTGGGAAATCTTTCAACCTGAAGCAGCAGAAAGTCTCAGCTTAGGACTAGCCCTAGGTATAAAAGGAAATTGCTTTTTGTTCAGTATAGTTGCTCTAGTGAGCCTTTTTGGGGGATCCATTTGTCTGAAGTTGAACTGCACATTTCCAAAAATGTCTAATGGTGAGATTCCGGACAAGCCTTGCATAAACTACTCTGCACTTCAGGAACCTTGCCAGAGTGAAATTGCCACACTTACAGGAGCCATACCCCTCACTCAACCAGTTTGTACAGTAAGCAGAAACTACACTGACTACTAATGCAAGGCACATAGGTCTATTTTCTTTGAGGGAAATATTGTGTCATCTTAACCATTAGGGCAACTTTCTTACGTTTCCTGGGTGGTCATGCCATGATAAGATCCCATTAACACCGCAGTTCGACTGGAGGCTTGCAAGGAAAACTTAGCCTCTTCAAAGTTTCTGGTCTCACATAACATTTATAATTAATGTTTGTAGCCTCCATATTACAATCTAATAACTACCTTCCTCACATTACTCTAGTTTTTGCCATAATAAATGCCTCATTGTTGAACCCAGTTTGAATTATGGTGGTTGTTTTAAGTGTATTGGGTGACAGTATATGAATTAGATTTTGTTCGTTTGAGTGGATGGACCATTTTTATGCAACCCCCCAGCAATAGGTATCTCAGTAGGGAGAGCATAATAGCAGACAGTAGTTCATTTTCCTGTTTTTGCTTATTATGGACTTATGAGTAATTAATCTATGACTTTCTGGTTCTAATTTGTAACCTGGAAGCTTCCGTATTTTATGAAGTCAGGGGTCTCCTGAGGAGGAGTTAGTTGTTCTGAGAAGGTGCATTGACTCTGGAAGCAGCCTGAATCTTCCAGTTGTCACAGGAGATATCACAAGTGCCAAGTACTTTTGAGAATGGGGCATATGGCCTAATGTCCATGATTCTACCACCTCCCAATAGCATTGTACTGCAGAAGCTTTTAATACATGGATCTTTGGAGGATGTTAGAAATCCAAGTTGTATCACCAGGACTATGGATACATGTATTGGAGTCAACATGGATTGCTAAACCTAGTAGCCACCCACAAATATTTATTCTCATCAAAGTGTAAGAATCACATATTCCATGGCAGTATGACACACAAATTGAGTATCTGGATTGGGGTAAGTGTGAACATCCTTATTCTTCACACTTACTCCATTGGGAAAAGGGGAGTATTATTTAACTTCTGTGGGACCTATTTTCCTAATTTATATGATAGAAAAAATAGTAGTACTGGCCTCATAATATTATTGTGAGGTGGAAAGTGGATTAATATCGGTAAAGTTGGAAGACAATTTTTTGGGGGGGTGGGGTTTGAACTCAGGGCTTTATGCTTACAAAGTAGGCACTCTACAGTTTGAGCCACACCTTCAGTCCATTTTGGTGTGGTTATTTTGGAGATGGGGGGGTCTCATGAAATATTTGTGCAGGCTGACTTTCAATTGCTATCCTCCCAATCTCAGCCTCCCAAAGTCCTCACACATGCTAAGCAATAAGACTGGTCCCTTTTCCAGCTTAATTTCCATCTCCTTTAATACCTTTTTTTTCCTTTTCGTGGTGTTTGGGTTTATACTCAAGGCCTCATGCTTGCTAGGCAGGCACAGGCAGGCCACTCTACCACTTTAACCACTCTGCCAGGCCATCCTGTAGTACCTTCTTCATAGTAAATTTCCTACTCAGTAGGACTATGACAGATTACAATTTCTATTGTGTCTCTAACCAGAAATTTGGCCAATCATGATCAAGTAGGAACGGGTAGGCAGAATTCTTGGAGAGATAGTGGCATTTTCCTGGAAAAGTTCTGAATATTACAACCCTTTTTACTCCACCTGACCCTTTTCATTTTAGGAATGCTTTTTAGGAAAGGTTATATATTCTCACTTCTGCTTTTGGAATCTGGAGGGCTGATCTGTGAGCTGGTCTCCCAGTTACCTGTATTCCACTATACATTGAATAAAGTCCTGAATCTTTCCTTCAATGACCTCTTGTGTGGATACCAGCTCTGCTCTGGAGCGTTAAAGAATGGAGATTTGGCTCTGAGAAAACTAGATAACAGTTGTGGAAAGGAAGTAGAATTCACAGACCACAACGAGAGAGCATCAGCATTTCTAAGGTAGGCTTCAGACGCCTCCGTCAAACTGAGTCCCCCTGTCTGCTCAGTAGACAAACATTGATTTTCCATGGGCTCTGCTGCCTGTCACAATCGGACCAGGACTCCAGGAGGGCTTCCCAAGCCGAAGGCGCTCATGATTCCCAGAGGGCCACGTGTCCCACAGGAGCATCAAAGAAAGCAGCGACTCTGACTACCTAGCAGGATCCACCTGGCCCTCTAGGTTCCTGATGCTGAGTCTCCACCGTCCCTCCAGAGGTGAGGGACTCCTGCCAGGCAGGAGTCTGCGCTGTCCTCTGGAAGAGGAGCCTTCCTGCACCAGATCAGGGATCAACGGTGCTCTGGAGGAGAGGCCCGCCCTTGAATTGATGCCATTGGAGTGCATTACACCTTTGGAGGCGGCCATTGACCGCCACAAACTACGTTACCCACAATGCCGCGAGCAGAGTAACAAAAGAGCGAGCCAACATACGCAGAGAACGGCCGTTTGCCGGCTTTGGGCGGGTTCTGGGCGGGACTTCCGGCACCGCCTGCTCGCTGTAGCTAGAGCTGCTGTCGCATGATTTCTCGCCTTCCGAGCTTTAGGAGAGAGGATTGGCTGACCGGAGCTGTCAGTCCAATCGGACTGAGAGTCGTCCCCTTTGCCCACCGACTGAGAGACAGGGACGGGGATGGCGGCGGCCGCCCTGAGACACCGGCCTCAGGTAAGTGCCGCGTCCCCGGAACTCACCATTCCAGAGCCCAGTGAGGGGCTTGCTTACGTCACCAGGTAGTGACGGGGGATGGCCTCCATTACTGACACTGGTGTGGGACAGTGGGACAGGCAGGGGACTGGTTTGTTGGGGCTCTGAAGCCCGGAGCATTGGCCCCTCCATGGAAAGGTGAGGAATTCCACCACTGTCCTCAGGCTCGGGAGCCCTGGAGGCTGTGATGGAGGAGGAACGGGGTCTGGGTTAGCCTCTTCAAGTTTTCCAAACGCTGCGCAGAGTTAGAGCAGCCTGGAAGGGGTGACACCGATGCCCAGGAAGAGTGAGTCCTTGTGTCACATCCACAGGTGGAAAGAGTCAGCGATGAGGACTGAGTTCTGAAGAGAATCCAGGCATCGTGACGTCACTTAGCTCCAGGTCGGGCAGGGGGCAAAGGGGCTTGGGCCCACGAAGCCCCACCATGGTCACTGTGTCCCCGTCCTCCTTCATCCCACAGGTTCCCAGGACTACCGCAGCGCGTATGGACGGTACTCACGTGAGTGGAGGATGTTCCAGAGATTCAGGGATGTGATCCCCCGGTCCCCACTGTTTCCGTATTTTTGTGCTAAGAATCTTTGCCTGCTGCTCTTCCACTCCGTGAGCCTGTTCTCCCTGAAGAATCCCCAAGCCAAAGGGCATAACCCCAATGTGAGTGTGTTAATGGAACAGTTTCTCTTGCAACTTTTAGCAACCAGTGGGATGAAATGAAAGATTACCCACATAACTCCACATATGTGGAAATGCTGGTATATGAGGCCAAACGTCTCAGGAGCCACAGGTTTTCTTTCCTTCTGATGGGACATTAGAGCAACCAGACAGAAATCAGGCTTGGGATGTTAGGTGTCTATTCTGGAGGTAATGGGAGATTTGGAACAAAAGAGGAAGGTAATTTAGAATAGATATTGAGTAAGAATGAGGAGATACAAAGTCCAGGAAGAGGAGGTCTTAAAATACTCCAGATGAGGGGTAATGTGGCTGCATCATTGTGGTGAGCAGAGAGACAGATGGTTGGGTTGTGGATTGGTTTTCCTTAAGAAAGGTAGATTTTGCTCTCTCTCTCACTCTCTGGTACTGGGGTTTAGGCAGGTGTGCTACCAGTTAAGCCCCACATCTAGCCCATAGTTTTTCATTTTTCAGGTTGAGAGAAAGGTAAAGAAGTTGAGTGATTCCAAGTTTTTGGTTTTAACAGCTGGGGGAATAAAAGATTCACTACTGGGATGTTAAAGTTGACCATTATTGGGAATAAGAGGAACTTTTTTGTTGGGGGGGGGGCATCTTACTAGTGAGATATAAAGCATGGCATGTAGGCAAATGCCTGTAAGCCAGCCTTTGGGAAGTATAGGCATTAGTTGTAGACCAGCCTGGGCTACAGTCAGAGACCTGGTTTCTAAATAAATAACTAAAAATTTCCAAACAGTATTTGTGGAAATACCCACTTAGAAGATGGCTCACCAGATCTGGCACTCTGCAGGTTATTAGCATGAACACATTCACAAAGGTGATGGGTGATGTTTGCCCAGGAGTATATCTTGAGTTACAATTAGGAAACGGAATAAAGTTTTTCCTTCTTTTTTTTTCTCTTATAGTTTTGGAACAGGTTCTTATTTGCTCAGGCTGGTCTTGAACTCATGGGATCATGTGGTCATATCACATCAGCCTCAGACTATAGGCATAAGCCTCATGCACAGCTGAACCCTGGTATTGATACTAATGCTATTAGAAGCCCAGGAAAATGAGGTTGGGATCCAGGACTGTGTCTAATGCTAGAACATAGGTAGAATTGGTGGCTTCACAAAGACACCTCATGGAGTGAGATAGCTGTAGGAACATATGAGAAAGTGGATAATCTGGCAGGTAGTTAAGATGGGTGGATACTACTCAGTTTCAAAAACTTAGTCATTGAGTCAAGATGACTGTGAGCCAAGTATCAGTGTCTGTTCATGAGACTTTGGATTCTCCAGCATTTAGGAATGACTTTTGGAATGTCTGGGGAGTTTCAGTCAGAGTGGTATATTGGCTCTTGAACACAAATGGTCACCTTGCAAGATCACTACGTCTGGAGTACAGGGTAATAATAGGAATGGACTATGGTTAGATTAAAGAAGGATGTGATTGGCAAGTGGACATTATTAGGTGCAGCAAAGTGGAAGAAGGACAATGGGTATCTTTGAATCCCCGGGTGGTTGCTGGTCACTGAGGCAGAAGCAAGGTATCATCAGGCAGAGAGGCATTCAGAGCAGGGTCGATGCTACCTCTCACACTAGGAACCATCAGAAGTCATGGTAGCAATGGATCTTGGCTAAATTTACCAGGCTTTCTCTGGATGCCTTGTGCTAATTAATGTGGGAAGACTAGGGAGATTCCTGTTGGGATGGGGGATGGAAGTGATTGAGGTAATGAGTGTGTGAGAGAGAAATGATCCAAGAAAGCATGTAGATGTGCAGAGAGAGGGGGACTATGAGCTTATAACCTGCAGGTATGGGCATTAAGATCATAAGGGTAAGCCCATATTTGTGCAAGGCACAGTCTAAGGAGCCCTTAGAGAATTGGCTGACAAAAGTAGAGCCCATATTGTGATGTCCATAATTATATGGCTTGTCATGCTCCACTTGCCTGTTTCTCCTAGAAGGACACAGTAATAGTGGAATATGATGAGAGAGGTGAGCCTCAGTTTCCCTGGGTCTGGTGTTTCCTCAGAGGTGTGAGATAGAAGATTGAGGAAAGAAAGAATGGGTGGGTGGGTAAACCTGGAATCCTAGGAGACAACTTGATCATTGTTGATGATGTGTCCCCATGACAGGGCTGTGTGACTTTTGAGGATGTGATTCTCCCAGGAAGAGTGGGGGTTTCTTGATGAGGCTCAGAAACTCCTGTACCTTGATTTGATGTTAGAAAACTTTATACTTACGAACGCTCTTGGTAAGGTCCTCAAATCCACTCTGTTTCTTGGTTTCTATATGTCCTCTTTTTTCATTGTCCTTTCTTTAGTCAGACTATAGGCCCTCTAACTTCCCTACTTTCTTGCCATATGTACTGTGCTTGCTAACACTGAGCTGTATGCCCACTGCCCTGAGAAGCCCTAACATGTGCTGTTCCAAAATTTCATGGGAGTGTCTTGGTGGCAGAAATCTGAGTCACCTGATGATCTCACTTGTCTTGCCCTCTCCTTTGCCAGGTGACTATGTTCACATCCATGATACCTTTTGCACTATGTTTTGTCCCCTTCTAGCTCACCCTGCCTCATAGCTCTCTCTATCAGGAATTACAGGCATTTCATAATCCAGTACTCATGAGGATTGACTGTTTTGCTAGACCCTACTTCTGTGCTTTTGTGCAATATTTATTTTCTTTCTAATAATCTTTTGGGTATTGAGGTGTTCTGAGCCACTGCTGATTACCCACCTGGTTTATCTTTCTTTAAGAGTTGCATCCTTCATTTCCCATGAAGTTGGACAAATTAGGTTTTGAGAGAATCCTATTTGTTTCAGAGGGTGAAAATAGCAAGATGGTCTGACAGGAGTCCTGGCTTTGTGAGTGATAGCTGAAATATGGCAGAACTTGGGTTGTATTTGAATCATGCTAGGAACCTGAACTGTGTGCAACAGTGTTTTGGCATGTCACTAGCCTCCCTTATTTCTAACATTTCTTTCCCGTACTTAACACTTTGCTGACATGTCATTTCACTTGTGACTTCAGGTCCCTCGCTGTCCCATTTGCACCTCTACAATGCTTCTCCTTCAGTGTTCTCCAACTCTGACCTTCATTCAAAGTGTTTTGAGGTATGCATATGTCCTTAAGTGTTTCTCAACAGAGTTCAAGTTGTTTCCTTTGGCCCGGACCTAGCTGTCTTTTTTGGGGGTTTGGGGGGCAGTACCAGGGCTTGAACTCAGGGCCTACACCTTGAGCCACTCCACCAGCCCTTTTTGTGTTAGGTATTTTCAGAATAGGGTCTCTCAAACTCTTTGCGGGGGCTGGCTTCAAATCACAATCCTCCTGATCTCTGCCTCCTGAGTAGCTAGGATTACAGGCGTGAGTCACCAGCACCTGGCATAATTGAAGACTGTTTGCAGAGTAGTTGGTAACCCTGCCTGTCTCCTTGTGCTGCATCTCATCCTTGTGTCCCTTGTCTGATGAGATTTGCCAGATTTTACTGTTTTAGCAGCCCAGTGCTGTGAAAGAACCCCTTCTGCAGATTGACCCTGGCTGCCACATCCTCAAAACTATCTTGTGGGGCCAGGGGTGCAGCTCAGTGGTAGAGTGAATGATTAGCAAGTACACTGTCTGAGTTTGATCTAATACCACCCCCAAATAACAATTGTATAGATTCTTTCATTGGTGGGGCTTGTCCACCTTCCTTCCATAGTCTACATGCATTTTATCTCCATTTTTCTGATTTCAGGTTGTGAGCATAGAGGAGAGGATGAGGAGGCATCTCTGCAGAAAGTTTCTGTGGAAGGAGTGTCACACTTGAGAATTGTAAAGGCAGTCAAGAAGATTCACCTCTGTGACACCTGTGTCCCAGTGTTGAAAGACATTTTGCATGTGGCCGGTCCATCTGTGCAGCAGCAATGCTTGGTGGCAGCATTTGCAAGGTTTCCAAAGCACCATAAGCATCACAGTGCAGAGAAATACTTGGTGAGGGACATGGATAGGAACTCACATGGGAAGAACTATGGATTTTGTGTGCTAGGAAGATCTTAATTGTTTGGAACTTTCTACAGTCTCAGTTCATTCCAGAAGGTGAGAAGGCAAACAACTGTGAATTTGGGGAGGCCTTTCACCATGGAAAAAGTTATTACAAGTTATTTAAATGCAGAAAAGTTTCCAAGAACAAAAATGCGGCTTTTTATAACCTGCTATTACGCACTGGAGAACACCTTTATGAGCACAGTAAAATTCAGAAAGTGTTCCATGATGAGTATTCACCTGATCAGCACCGGAGTGTCCATGATGTAGAGAGGCCTTATGACTGTAGAGAATGTGGCAAATCTTTTAAGCAAGTACAAGCCCTTACTGTACACCAGAGAATCCATGTAGAAAAGCCTTATCAGTGTAGAGAATATGGGAAATCCTTTAAGCAATTGGATGCCCTTACTATATACCAGAGAATCCACACTGTATAAAGGCCCTATGATTGTACAGAATGTGGCAAGTCATTTAATTGCAGAGGTACCCTTATTCTACACCAGAGAATTCACACAAGAGAAAGATCTTATAAGTGTAGAGAATGTGGGAAGTCTTGTGCAAGTATGTGCTCTTACTGCACACCACAGAGTGCACACTGGCAAAAGACCTTATACGTGTAGAGAATGTGGGAAATCATTTAAGCTACAAGGTGCCCTTACTATTCACAAGAGTGTCCACACTGGTGAAATGTCTTATCAGTGCACAGAATGTGGCAAATCTTCTAAGGTGGGAGGGGCACTTAAACTACACTGGAACATTCACACTGGAGAAAGGCCTCATAAGTGTGGCAAATGTGGAAAAACTTTTCTTCAGTATGCCAACTTTATTAGTTACTGCAGAAATCATATTAGAGAAAATTCTTTAGAATGCTATGAGTATGGGAAAACCTTGAGGTAGAATGCTAGTCTCATTCAACACCAGGTAGTTCACCCTTGGAGAAAGGCTTTATGAGTGTAGAGGATGTGGAAAATCATTTAAACAGGCATGTGCCCTTACTGTACACCAGAGAGTACACACTGGAGAGGCCTTATGAGTGTACTAAATGTGGGAAATCACCTACCTAACTCTGGTCTCCTCACCAAAGGCATCATAGCATGGAAACACCTCGTGAAGGGAACAAGGGAGGGAATCTTTCAACCTGAGGTTGAAACAGCAGCAGAAAGTCTCTACTTTGGAGCAGCATTATTCATGAATGGAATGAACTTTTTGTTCACTGTATCCATATTAGGGATCCTTTGTTAGTGATCCAACTTGAAGTACCCATTTCCAAATGTCTAGATAGTGAGATCCCCCATGAGTCCAGGCACAGGATGTGGCTCATGATAGATGCTCTGCACATTCTGAACTTTCTGGTGTACTTTTCATATTGATGTCATTGCCATACTTTCTCATCAGTTACCCCCCTCAACCATCTTGCACAGTGGGCACAAGCTACACTGACAAAATAAAGCACAGTACATGTCTATTCTTCCTTCAGGGAAATGTTGAGTTGGCTTAACCATTAGGGCACCTTTCTTCTGTTTGCTGGGAGATCATGCCATGATATGACTCTGTTACGACCACAGGAACTCAGGTCAATCAGAGGCCTGCAAAGAAAACAGCCTCTTCATAAAAGTTTCTGGTCTCACATAACATTTGTAGTTGATGATCAAGGTCACTAACTGAAACTGCCTGCTTCACATTATTCTGGTTTGTGCAATAGTAAAGGCCTTATTATTGAATCCACCTTGAATTATTTTTACAACTGTATTGTTTGGCATATGTAGAATTAGGCTCTGTTTATATGAGAGGATGGACCACTTTTATAGGACCCCTATAAAAGTACCTCACTGGGGAGGAGCATAGTGGCAGAGAGTTCATTTTCCTGTGTTTCCCTAACGTATATTGCTGCCTAATACTTCCAGTGAAACAATCCAGGAGTTTTTTGTTTAATTTATAGCCTGAAAACTTCCATATTTTGTGGGACTAGGGGACTTCTGAAGGGGGTCAATTGTTCTAAGAAGGTGCCTTACTCTGGGAATAGCATGAATCTGTTCCTTTGTCATAGGCTGCAGGAGAATTAGGGGGACACAAGAATGTGCATTAGGTTGTAACCATGATTCCACAGGGGCCCTCTTTGCCAAAGACAGCAAAAGAGGATGGAAATAAAGAGGATAATGAAACAAAAAAAAAAAAAAGCTGAACAGTACTGCCACTACTTCACTTAACACATATTCTCTGAAAAACTGAAAGCACAAGATAACAGGTGTCAAAAGCAGCCAATTCAGTAGCTAAGAATTTGTCCACTTCCAAATCGAGCAGGGTAGTGCTGACTAATGTAGGCTTACTGTCTTTACCATCATCTCATTCAGCCCTACACTGGAAAAACTGAATATGAAATTCCAGCAATAAACAATGAACAAAAGATTACAGCTGAGGACCTTAAGATTATGCTTTTTACCTGATAAGGTAACTACAACCAGTCAGGCACTGGTGGCTCACACTGATGGGAAATGAGAGAGGTGGAGAGAATTGTACACGTATTTCACTTACACATCCTTATAACTAGAACTGTATTAGGCCAAACTTGGGTGCTGAAATTTTGTTCTGCTGGTGCTGTAGAAAATGAGTAAATGGGCTGGTTTTCTTGACTTCAATCTATTCCACCACTTCTCCCAGGAACTAAGGATTTTCTCGCTCTAAAGTTGGCACAGGCGTTGCAGGGGTCTGTCTTCAAGGTCCTTTGAAACCACTTGCCTTCCAGCTGCAGGACTGCTCCTTGCTCCTCTTTATAGAGTCCCCGCCCCTGGACCCCTGCCTGGGAGGTGTAGAACCATCCTTCTGGGCGGGTACTGAGCTTTCTAAACTACATTACCCATGATCCTCTGAGACGAGCGGCAAAAAAGTGTGAGCCAATGAGCTGGAAGAAAATCTCTTCCGAGCTCTGGGCGGGACTTCCTGTGTTGGAGGGACGTCTTTACAGCTGCTGTTGGGTCAGTGCTGGTGGTCAGAGGTTTAGCAGCGTGGATCCGCGATCAAGGTGAGAAGAGTAGGCAGCCCTGAGCTGGGGAAGGTCGTCTCCACTGTCCACCAGCTGTTCTGACGAACGGCGGCGGCGTCGACGGCCATTCCCGGCTCTCCGCCCCGCCCGCCAATGGCGGCCGCCGCGCTGAGGGACCCGGCTCAGGTAAGTGCCGCATGCTTCCCTCTCACCTCACTGGCCTGCTAGAGCCCACTTGGGGTTCCTGATTAACCCCACTGGGTCCAGGTCATTGGGCGAGGTCGTGAGTGAGATCTAAATTTCTTAAGGTTTTGGGGAGTGTTAAAGGCACAGGGCAGATTTTTGTGACGTTTCGGAGGGGCCATTGAGCCAGGTGCATTTGTGTCCTTAATGGGAGAGTCGGAGTTTTCATTTTCAGACGCTGGGAACCATGGAGGGTTCTGAAAAGAAGAGGCTGATGGTCTGAGTTAGGCTTTTCAGGTCCCCAAAAGTTGCTCAGTTTCAGAGAAAGATGACACGGAACAGGCAGAAGGAGGTTGCGGCCTTGTACAATTTTGCAGTTAAATCATCACCAAGGAAGAAGCTCAAGAGACAGTGCACTCATTCCCAGTTACCTGGCTCCTAGATCGGACGGGGAAACGGGGAACCTACCATAATTTCGTGCCTATCGTGACCTCCCTCTTCCCACAGATTCCCATGACAGTGGAAGTGCTGGTGGACCCTGAACAGGTGAGTGGAAGATGTTCCTGGCCTTCCGTTGAGGTGACCACACCCTTTGCCTCTGTGACTGCGTTCTAGGACTTCTGCTGCTCTTCCTCTAGTTCTTGAGTTTAAGGGCCCTAAGAAAAGTCCCAGTATCCAGTGAAGGCTTGTGCTTCTGTGAGGAGTTTTGTATTCCTTGGAGCCAGTAGAATAGGGTATGAAAGGTTGTCCTAGGCCTAGGTACTGTTGGGCAAGCTTGTGGAAGTGAGCTGGCTTAGGGAACCAGAGTTTGCCCTTTTTTGAGAACTGAGAGCAGTGGTGCTACTCAAAAGTGGACTGTCTATCGCAGATATTGATGTCTATTTTGGAGGTGGTGGGAACAATAAGGAGGGTGGACTAGACGGACCATGTGGCTATAGCATGTAAACCAGATTGTGTTGAGGGAGGCAGTAGGAAGACAAAGGAAGAAGATGCTGCACTAGTCCAGGTGAGTGTTGATGGTAGCTGTACTGAAGTAACGGCTGTGGAAGTGGGAAATGAGGTTGGGATTCTGAACCAGTCTTTTAAGTAGGGCTGCCTGAGTTTTTGATTTTAAGGTTAAGTAGAATGTTGAAGTCATGTGTGCCTGCAAGATTTTTGACTTTAGCAAAGGAAGGGTAGGAGTTCTATTAACTGGGAATGTAAAGTTTATAAAAGCATGAATTGTTATTTGATATATCACAAGTTTAGAATGTCTCACAGAACAACTTTGGAGACATCAAGCAGGCAGCTAAGTACACAAGTGTGAAACTAAGGAGGGGTTCGAGATGCAGACATCCAACAGTTGTGACAAGATTCTGTGTAGCTGTGAGTTACAGTTTGGAGGAAGAATCCTGGTTATGGTAGTAATGCTAAGGAAAGTCAAATCAACTGGGTCTTAGGCTTGGTCACCTGAATGTGGGTAGTGGCAACACAAGCATGGTGTGCAGATGTGGTCATGGGAAGAGTGTGGAGGAGGGAATGATCTGATTTGGTGGTCATGGTGCTAATAGACAAGGCACACAACATGGAGGCTAATACATGGGAGTAATTGAGCAAGGTGATGCAGAAGCCAGGACTTGTGCTTTTTTCTTCATTTTGGACTCAACAATTTGGTTGTTGCCCTTGGTGTATCTGGGGCCTTTTAGTAAGGTGAGTGGATTGGCTTAGGGCCCAAGTGGTCATCAAGAAGCGTCACTGGGCCTGTGAAAGAGATCCACTGAGAATGGTCTCATGGGATAGTGGAGAGAGAATGTCTATTACTAGTGGAGGACATCAGGTGCAACATGAGTAGTAAAGGTCCAGAGGTGTGTGAGATTCACAGGTGATTTTTTTTTTCATTTATTCATATGTGCATACAATGTTTGGGTCATTTCTACCCCCTTCCTCCACCCCCCGGCCTCTCGCTTTTCCCCAACCCCCTCGCTTCCAGGCAGAAACTGTTTTGTCCTTATCTCTAATTTTGTTGAAGAGAGAGTATAAACAATATTAAGAAGGACAAAGGGTTTTTGCTAGTTGAGGTAAGGATAACTATACAGGGAGATTCCTCACATTGCTTTCATGTAAATATGTGTTACAGTCTAAGTTGATTCTTTTTGAACTGACCTTTTCTCTATTTCCTGGTCCCCTTCTCCTATTGGCCTCTGTCGCTTTAAAGTTTCTGCATTAGTTCCTTTGCATTGAGGACATCAAGTACTATCATGTACAGGTGATTCTTGATGGATGAGTTTGAAGCAATGAACAGAGTCCAGTAGGGAGACCTCCAGAGCAAGACAGGGACTGTGGCATTGGGGTCTTGTAGTGTTCTGGAATCATGTTGGATCATATTTTCATTTTCTATATACTTTCCAGATGTCTGATGCTGAATTACATGTAAAAAGATCAGGGGTGTTCCTATGAAGTGAGCAGAGATTGAGAGTGGCTATGGATGTTGGACCCTGTGACATAGGGGTGATGGAAGGGCTAAAAGGCATGTGGAGAAGTCATGTCACATGTCTTCAGGGTCTGGCCATTTATAGGATATGACATTTAGGACCCCACATTTGCCTGTATAGGGGAAGTATGGTCTCAGGTCCTATGGAACATTTTTGAGGGGCTAAAATACAAGAGAAGCATGAAGATAAAAAATATCAGGTCAGATAGGGGCTGGAAATCATGGATAAAACAGCAAGACTGTAGTGTCAAGTATGGGGAAGAAAAGATAGAAATAAAGTGTATCCTGGGCACTTGCACCAAAATACTAGGGTAGTGGTTAATTTGCAAATAGCCAGGGTGTAAAGAGTTTGAAGCTATCAAGGGAAGAAGTCCTCCAGATCTTGTTGCTAGGTTCACCCTGTGAAGTAACCAGGGCTCTCCCTGCACTCCTAGCTGTTTCACTACATGAACCTGCATGAAGCAAGTCCTAAGGGAAAGACAGGATAGGCGAGCCTTCAACATTGGCCTAGAGCAACTGAGTACCCTAGATACCACAGGAAAGAAAATTAATCTTAAAATCATCCTTGAAGAAGGTTTTGGCAATAGCCCATAGTCCATGCAAATATTTGTAAGGAAAATGCCCCCAATTCCTGACACATATAGTCACAGAAAATATCACCTGAAGGACGTGAAACAAATTGGGGCACAGTGCCATGGGCACAACTACCCAAAGGTGAGCAAATAAGCAAACTAACATCTATTAGTCTATTCAAGACCCTAACTCCCATAACCTCCCCTGCTAACTTCAGCCCAGGAGGGGCTGTGGCATTGGGGAGTTCTCAGGGCTATGCACACAGTTCATCTCTATACATGTGCCAAGATAGTGAGGAATTCACTTGATGTCTCCAAAGTTGTTCTGTGAGACATTCTAAACTTGTGATATATCAAATAACAATCAAATAACAATTCATGCTTTTATAAACTTTACATTCCCAGTTACTAGAACTCCTACCCTTCCTTTGCTAAAGTCAAAAATCTTGCAGACACACATGACTTCAACATTCTACTTAACCTTAAAATCAAAAACTCAGGCAGCCCATACTTGACACTACAGTCTTGCTGTTTTATCCATGATTTCCAGCCCCTATCTGACCTGGTATTTTTTATCTTCATGCTTCTCTTGTTCCCGTTTTAGCCCCTCAAAAATGTTGTGCAGCACTGACCCACACCTATTATACTGAGATGTTCACATGTCCTTAAATATTCCTGAGTACTTTTCACCAGTTCCATTTGTGTATTCCTGGGCCTTTACTCAAGCAACCTTCTGTGTGACTGGCACTTATCACCAGCAGATGAGGTTGGTGGTGAGTTACAGTAGTTCAGGGCTTCTCATAAGTAACTCTCATCTCTTGGGTTTGGATCATGAGACAGTAATAGCTGAAAATGGTTTGCCAAAGAATGTGTTGGAGACCATGCCTCTTCTTGCCATTCTGCATCCTGTCCTTGTGTCTTTCAGCAGGTTTGTTCTTCTGAATTCAATGGTCTTTAGAGACTAACCTGCCCTTAGGTCTCATCCTCAAGATGTTTTGGCTCTTTTTGGTGTGTACATGATGAGTCTACCACTTCTCATCAGAGTCAACATTCATCTCATTACTATTTCTCTGATATGCAGTATGGGCATAGAGCCAGAGTGAGGACACACTTTTCATGCAGTGTTTCTATAAAAATGTCATTCATCTGGGTTTCAAAGGCAGGTCCATCCTCCTAGAAGAGACAACCCTGTGACATTTGCAGCTCAGTCTTCAAAGATATTTTGCACCTGGCTAATCCTCCACCAGCACAGAGAAACCTTTGAAGAGTGATAGAAGTGATTGATTTGTGAAGAATCACAGATTCTTTGTGTTAGGAAAGGCTTTCACCTGTAAGGAGAAGAAAGCCTCCCTGCTCACCTTGGGCCTTCTCCAGCTCCAGGTCATTCCTAAAGATGAAGATGAGTCTCAAAGTATGCAGAGAGCTTTCCTGGTGGAAAAAGTTAAGTGAACACAGAAAATGTGCCAGTCCCAAACACTCCATTGTCCACCACCTATTTCTGCACTGGAAAAAGGTTTCATGAATATAGCGTAGCAAGTACTCATTTGCTGAGCACCAGAGACCTGACATTGGGGAAAATCCTTATCAATTTGGGCAGTGTGTGAGATCTTTATCAAAGAGTTCAACTCAACATACACAAGAGAGTTTGCATTGGAGAACGGTCTTATCAGTGTGGACAGTATGGTGTTGGTGTGCCACTTAAGATGTTTTTAGGTCTTGGGAGTGCCACATCATGAATGGATTAACACTGGTATTGTGGCAGTGAGATGGTTCTTTGTGTGAGTGGGTTGTTATGACATCAAGTTCAGCCCTCTCTTGCCTTTCTTTAGCATGTGAGCTCTTTTTGCCATGTGGAGCCATCTGCCATACTACAGTGCAGCACAAAGCTCTTCACTAGATGCAGCCTCTTGAACTTGCGCTTCTCAGCCTGGAGAAATGTAAGATGTAAATTTGTATTCTTTATTTATTACCTTACCAAGTTTATGATATCCTATCATAGTCATAAAAAATAAACTGAGACAGCCAGCGTGAGACATCTTTTAAACCCCGTTAGTCTCTGGAGAGATCACATTAGTCAAAAGCCTTACAGCTGTGGCCACACAAATGCACCAATACTGCCTGCAAATCTATGGGAAAAACATACCAAACAACCACTCCCGAGCCTGCTGTGTGGGTCACAAGTGGCCACACCAACAGACTGAAAATGCATGCAGAGTGTTAAGTAGAGTGGGAATGTGCCTTTCTGTAGAGATAAGTCCAGTGTAGCAGAGCCTAGTGACAAACACACAGTAATTCCCTATGACAAGAATGTGAAACTGACACACCTGAACCCAGCCTGTACTCACACAAATGCCACATCCACCACAGAAAACTAGATGAGGGACACGAGAAATGAATCAGATACTTTGCAAAGCCTTTCAGGGACCCATGAGATAGGAAAAAGTTGCCGAAACCACAGCAGTTGTGGCCACACAATGCACCAGTTCTATGCACAGATCTGTATGACAAGCATAACAAATACGTACCCTCAACTTTGTGGAGAGGGTACAAATGTGCACACCAGGAGACTGAATGTGCAGACAAAGGCCAGGCATATGAAAACAGAACTTGACCAAAACCTAAGCAGTTGTCAGCCCTTGATAAGCAGGACGTGGTCAGTAACTGCCAGCTGCCAGTTGCCAGTAAGCAAGGCCTCTCAAACTCTCCTTTAGGCAATTGTGAAGAGCAGGGTGTGTAAGAGTCATGAAGTTGAGTCATTACCATCTTGAAGGAGGGGGTGATTTTCCCCTTCTTCCCCTCCTTCACTGTCCCATATCTATGTGGGAGTAATACATACCTGAACAGTGTTGGCATCTGTATATGGAGTTCAGGAAGGACGAGTCCTGTGCAGACACTCATCTCCATCCTCCACAGCTGTTAGAGAAGTTATTGTGTCTGTGTTCTTTGGTATTCAAGTTTCAGATCAGCATTTTCCTTAGTTTACGAGCAATTTTATTCACAGATAGGTCTCTGTCATTCATGTCAAGACAGGTTAGAGAGGTTTCATTCTTTACAGCTCTGAAGTCCTGTTTGTTTTGCCTTCAGGAGACAGAGCATTGATTTTTGTAAACAAGAATATATTTATATATTAGAGCATTGGTAAGACCTCTCTTCCCAGGGTGACCATTACCTCTGATTTTTTTTTTTTTTCCTGGTACTTTGGTTCAAACTCATACTTGCTATACAAGCCCCCAGTCCTTTTGTTTTTAGTTTATTTTCGGAAAGGGTCTCATACTTTTTCCTGGGCTTGCCTTGGACCGTGGTCCTCTTACCTGTACCTTCCAAATAGCTGGGATTACAGGCATGTACCGCCATGCCCAGCAAGAAATTTTGCATGAAACTCCTCATTGGCACTTCCTGGGATGTGAGGTTATTCCATTCACTTCATCAGATGAGCTCTGCCACAGTCATACTGAGGCACATATGACTACTAAGGTGAATTTGGTAGTTTTAAGGTTTCTCTGACATGATTCAGCTAGCAGAAGGAAAATGAGAGAGGAAGGGGAGAAGTGATATCAAGTTGCTGACATAAATTACCTGTACATATTCTTGAAGCACTAGACATTTGACCAAACCTGGGTTCTCAGCATTAAAAAGTATTTCAACTGTATGCCTAAGGACAAGAGCAAATGGGCTCTGTTTATATCACATTCATAGGTTCTACTTAGCAAACTCTTAGAGACTGAGAGTGATAAGCTGGTCAAAGGTTACCCATGCCTGTAATTCCAGGACTCTGTGGACTGAGGCAGGAGGATTATGAGTTCAGTGTTACACAAAGAAACCATGTCTCAAAAAGGAAAAAAAAAATTAAAAAATTTAAAAAGAGAAACTGAATCAGAGTGGTATAGCTTCTGTCATCGAGCACTGTGTGCTTCTGTATGTCAGAACGTAGCTAGCATTTGTTTAGTTGGATGTGATACAGTACATAGAGATATGAATGATTGTCAGGAATAAAAATTCTCCACAGAGCTTCTCAGAAACAGGAGAGATGTCATGCCTGTCAGGGCCACATGGGGAAAGACCAGGGTCATTCAGTCATATAGGGTAGAAAGAAGACCATAACTCACTATTTATCTGAATATTCACTAGAAAAAATGGGGAAGGTAGGATAGTTTCATTAGTCAAGCTAAGGAATAAATAGTTCACATAACTATTTTGGACTTCAGGCTGTTTTCCTGTTGTCTTGTATATAGCCTTGGATTACTTTAGGATAAGGTGAGTCAGCTTTCTGTAAGACAGATTGATAAAGGAACTGGCTGAGGATGTGGGCTCTACATCACTTAATCTTTCATAAAAAGGTATGCTCCTAGGCTAGTTAGCCTTTGGTCTCTTAAAAATTGGCCAGCATCCCTAGTCACCTACAATTGTGATCTTTTCATTTCCAAAGGTAGAGGAGCCTCAGTGTGTAAGGGTCATCCCCTGTTGGTACTGTTAGAGACCCTGATACTATGAATTTATATGATACACTCAGGATTGCAATCGTATGTTCTCCCTCATATGTGGACATTAGATCAAGGGCAAACACAACAAGGGGATTGGACTATGAGCACATGATAAAAGCGAGAGCACACAAGGGAGGGGTGAGGATAGGTAAGACACCTAAAAACTAGCTAGCATTTGTTGCCCTTAATGCAGAGAAACTAAAGCAGATACCTTAAAGCAACTGAGGCCAATAGGAAAAGGGGACCAGGAACTAGAGAAAAGGTTAGATTAAAAAGAATTAACCTAGAAGGTAACACCCACGCACAGGAAATCAATGTGAGTCAATGCCCTGTATAGCTATCCTTATCTCAACCAGCAAAACCCCTTGTTCCTTCCTATTATTGCTTATACTCTCTCTACAACAAAATTAGAGATAAGGGCAAAATAGTTTCTGCTGGGTATTGAGGGGGGGAGCGGGAGGGGGTGGAGTGGGTGGTAAGGGAGGGGGTGGGGGCAGGGGGGAGAAATAAACCAAGCCTTGTATGCACATATGAATAATAAAAGAAAAATGAAAAAAAAAATTAAAAAAAAAAAAGGATTGCCTGTAGGGCAGGATGGCCAGTTGGTCTGGAGTCTTAACTTTGTTCTAAAGGAACACACTAAAGAACCCCAGACCGAATCCAGCTCTTCAGTGAATGACAGGTGAAGTGCATTTGCCTTGCAGATAGGACACAGGGACATTGGGTCTGACTGAGTCTGTACAGGACATGTCCTTTGTTAACCCCTAGAAGCAGCTGAAATGATATCTTTAGCTTTTGTGAACATCTGATCTTGCTGAGTATTGAATGATATGTCACTAAACACTTGACTGCTCAGCGGTAGCTGCAGCTCTCCAGAAATCCACATGTTGTCCCTTTAAGGCAAGCAAATCCCTCAGTCACTTTAGATCTACACTGCAATATCCAGGCCCTTTGTCAGTCACCTGACCTTTGGATTACTGGTTGAGTACACTCAGTTGTGGCCAACATTGACCACAACTGGTCCCAGAAAGGGACCTCGTGAACTATTTGCCCAGAAAGGCCCAGACCCCTTGGAGAAGTCCCTGACCCAATGATTGTACAGCAAAGTGTTGCTTCTGTAATTGGATGGCTCATTCTGGTGGTACTTCTGGCTTTTCTCTAGGGAGGTGCATTATAGCAGGTTAGATTCTTGTGAGCCATTTGTTCCTTAAGAGATGACAACAGCACAAGAACCAATAGGAGAGGTTGTCTGCTTGTACCAGTGTCAGAGCTACCAGTGGAGTCTGACCCCTGTTACCTGTTCTACTGCAGAGTCTGATGATGGTGGTCATGGTAAAGGATCCAGCTTTGTTGAGTGTTGTTTTCTAGGGCCATTATCCTCACTGAACCTGAGTCCTCTAGAGCCTGGCAAGGGGCCTCTTCATGTCATCACATTTCAGGACCCTATATTCAGAACAGTGAGAACCTAGAGTGTGAATGCATCAATTTAAACCCAAGTTTGATGAGGTATTGGGGAATGTTATAGGTAGGGCTGGAATGTGTAGTCTTATTGACTGAATTGGGAACATGCATGCCAGGTTGGGCAGGAGAGAGATGACATGGGTAATCAGAAAACACCAGCGTTAGGAACCAAGACTAAGGAGACTAAAGCAGCACGGTCACATTAATCCTTGAAGAAAACCTGTGAATTCTTTCCATCACACTCCCTTCCTTTAGGTGTTAAGTGAGTTACAATTCCCTTAGATGAGTAATTCTTTGACCAGAAAAGAATACTCAGGTCATAAGGAGCAGACACAGTATCATAAGACTTTGGTAAAGCCTCCCTATACCCCTTGTCTCCATGTTTGGATGATAACATCAAAACAGGAATTTGAGCCAGGCATCTATAATCCTAGCTACATAGGAGGCAGAGATCAGGAAGATTGTTGTTCAAAGCCAGCCTGGGCAAATAGTTCAGGAGACCCTATCTTAAAAATATCCAATGCAAAAAAGGGCTAGCAGAGTGGCTCAAGTGGTAGACTGCCTGCCTAGCAAGCATGAGGCCCAGAGTTCAAACCCCAGTACTCAAAAAAAAAAAAAAAAAAAAAGAAAAGAAAAGAACAGGAACTTAACAAAATGATTATAGTTGCCAGGTGCTCACCTGTCTAGAAAAAGTTTAAACCAGACTCCCTAGCTCAGGTTAGATGGTGTAAATACTCAGGTTGAGGACCACCCATTGAGCCCTTAGTTTCCACCTTCTGCATGTCAGAGGGTGCTTCTTTACCCCTTTCTATATTTTATTCGACTGTATTAAACAAAATTTTGCTGGCCTCTTAGCTTCTGAGTCTCCCTTAGGTATTTCTCCAAACTTCTTTTTGTCATTGCTTTCAAGAGCTTAGGAACTGGAGGGTGATTGGGGAGTTAAATCAAGGATTCCTCTGTCATAAAGGGAATCCTTCTCCATGATATATCTAAGGAGTTTAAAACTGATGGGTAAATTTAGGTGCATGAGTGGTCATCTTGTGAATCACTTGCCTGTGGTGGAGAGCCACTGGGGAAGGGCCCCGGAGTTAGCAGGTAAGAAAGGTTGACTGGTGAGTCATTGTGCCCTATTAGTGGTAAGGGCTATGGGAGTCTGGCATCTACAGGTGTTTCTTGGTGTTATATAAGTCAAGATGACCTTCAAAGCAGAATGGGGGTACCTTTCAGTAAGAATCACTATTGTCCTATTTGGGTTTTGAGGAAGTCACTAAAGGGAGTGGAACTCAACTTATCACTCCCAAATTCCTTCTCTTCTAATGTGGAAAAGAATTTCAGTTTGAAACATGAGGCAAGATAGACCAGAGCAGTTTTATTCAGCAAAGCAAAAGAACAAAGACTTATAGGTGCTATGTGGGGATATGTGAGAGTTTAACATCAGGGGGACTTACACTACAAGAAATGGGGTACCTAGTGTTCCTTTGTTCTAGGTAACTGGCATATTTAATAACCCTTATTGGTATGGTGTATTGACATTACTGACTTGGCCTGGGCAACTAAATATTTTGGCTTCCTGCATGCTTTGGTCCTTGCAACATGTATGCATGCTTATTGTAACTTTTATGAGATTCTCTCAAGATTTTCTCTGTTCTAAGGATGAAGTGACACCAGGCATTCTCAAGGCAATATTTTTCTTTATGATAAGGTTGCTTAGTTACCAGGGAACACTGATTACCTGGGACAAATACACAGGGTTTGTCTTTTGAATACATGGCTATAATTCAGTTGAGGACATGTAAAACTGAAGGAGAAAAGTCTGCATGCTCTTAAGTATTTCTTAATTCCTGGCTGCCATTTTCCAGCTTAAGGTATCTAGACTGTCCATGTCCTCTTTTGTTATGTCAAGTCTACTCAGGATACTATGTGCCAAGAAGACTAGGGCAGGCAGATAAACACATGTGTATTAGGCAGGAAAGTGGAGATACTGTGGGAGTGTGCATGAGAGGTGTGCTCAAAAAAATAATGTGCACCTGGAGAAAGCACATGCGATGGTGGTGTTGTGACTTTGTTAGTAAAATGAAGGAGAAAGGTGAGTGCATATTTAGAGGTAACTGAGCACAATCTGGGGGACTCTTGAGCAATTAGTTGTCAAGAGTGGATACTGCCCTGCATGCCAGGACCAGATCTCAGGTGGTGTCTACATGCTACTTTCCTATTAGTACTGTTGGAAAGACATACTAAGCAAATATGCCACAAGAATAGATTGGGGACAAGGAGCACAGGGTCTGGCATCTTCTCTAAGGTGGGGAGGGTGGCACATAGGGTAAACAGAGGATGGGTATGAGATTAACTTAGAATCCTAGGAGTGAAGCTGATCATGGAATACTCTGTTTTGACCATGACAGGACTGTGTGACCTTTGAGGATGTGGTCATTTACTTCTCCCAGGAGGAATGGGACCTCCTGAATACATCTCAGAGGCTCCTGTACCTTAATGTGATGCTGGAGAACTTTGCACTTATAACCTCTCTAGGTAAGGCTGTCATACTCTCCCACACCTTGGTCTCAGTTCTTCCTATTTTCCACAGAGGCAGTTTCCCCCTTCTGCCACTAGTCCGGGTCTCTACTAACTTCTCCACTCTTTGGCATGTGTCCATGGATACTGTTGCTGAGCTGTGGCACCACCCTGAGAAGCCCTAAGAGATGCTGCTCCTGTGAGTGCAGGCAGGGATTTGGAAGGAAGGTGTCTAGCAGTCAGCCCAACGGGTCTCTCCTTGCTTACCCTCCCCTGAGTAGGTGGTTATCTAGATCCATGACATATTTTGCCCTTCTCACTGGTACTTCCTCACAGCTGCCTGTTTCAGGAACTCCAGGCATTGTCATGATCAGTAGCCACATGGACCATGCACTACTCTTACCAGTTCCTCCTTCCATTCTTCTTCGTAGTACTAGTTTTCTTTCCTCTTCTGTGCTGAATTGCTCAGGGCCACCACTGAGAGCCCTCCTGCCCTCTCTTTCCCTTGGGACTTGGTTTTGTGCCTCTCCGATCTGTGCAACTGGGTTTCCAGAAGAATCTTGGTTGCTCCATAGAGAAGACATGGAAAGAGCTCAGAATCTTTCCTTGTCTAACTGAAGGGCACCTCGTTTGGAAGCGCTCATGACATCTGGGCTGTTTTCCTATCACTCCTGGGAATTGTACTGTTTGCTTAGTGTTTGTGGTGCCACTGAACCCGTCCCTCCCACCACCCAACACACACACATTTCTACCTTCTCATCCCCATACTTGACACTTTCTAACTTGTCATTCATCTATGCCTCTGCACTCTAGCTGCTTCCCCATCTTTCTGGTCTCTGTATATCACTGCACCTCTGTAATGTTCTCCCTCACTGACCCACATGTAATGTGTTTTGCATTGTGTACATATATTTAAATACTTTTTTTTTACTTAGACTTGAACCCAGGGCATCATGCTCTACCACTTGAACAAGCTTACTGGTTTACATTAAGTACTTCTAAATGCAGTTCCAGTTGTGTTTTCTCAGGCCTGACATCAAGCAGGTTTTTTTTTGATCGTGGGACCAGGGTTCAAATTCAGGCCCTTGCACTTGCTAAGCAGGCACTCTACCACTTCAGCCACTCTCTCAGCTCTCACGTAGTCTTTTTAGTCCCCTGGTCACCAGCTGGCAAGTTTTAATGGATGACATTGTGTGGTGAGTTTAGAGTATTTTATGTCAGATCATTGGATAGAAGTACCATTTGGTTATACCATCTATAGACTGTTTATAGAGAGGTGTGCTCAAAAATCTGCCTCCTCCTGTGCAGCAAGTCCTTTTTCTGGTGCTGTGAAGTACCCCCATTTTTCATTGACCTCAAAACAATCCTATGAGACTTGGGGTGTAGTTCAGTGTTGGAAGGCATTCCTGGCATGTGTACAGCCCTGGGATCCCTCTCCAGCACCACAAAAAAACTATGGACTTTTTCTTTGGCAGCTTACTCCATCTCCTCTTCTACAACAGTGTACATATAATTCACTGTCATTTCTCTGATTTCAGGTTATGGGCATAGAGAAAATGATCAAGAGGCATCTGTGCAGGAGGTGTATGTGGAAGGAGTGTCACACTTGATGACTCCAAAGGCTGATCCAACCTCCCAGAGCGCTCACCCTTGTGATGTCTGTGTCCCAGTCTTGAAAGACATTTTGTACCTAGATGATCCACCTATGCAGAAGCCGTACCTGGTTGGGGCAAATGAAAACCTCCCCCAGCACCAGAAATATCATAGTGCAGATAAACCCTTGAAGAAGGATGTGGATAGAAACTCACTTTTGAAGAGTGATGAATTTGGTATGTCAGGGAGTTCCTTTAATTATGAGGATCTTTGGAAGGATTTCCCACCTTTATTGGATCTTCTGAGTCCCCAGGTCATTCCTAATGGTGAGAAGCTAAACATCTCTGAGTTTGGTGAGTCCTTTCATCATGGAAAAAGTTATTACAACTTGCCTAAGTGCAGAACAACTTCCAGGAACTTAAGTATGTCTTTTCATAACCTGAAACTCTACTCTGAAAAAAATATTTATGAGCACACCAACTGTGACAAAATGTTCCATGATGAGTACTCACTTGCCCAGCACCAGAGAGTCCACATTGTAGAAAGGCCTTATGAGTGTAGAGAATGCGGCAAGTCCTTTAAGGAGAGATTTTCCCTTACTGCACACCAGAGGGTTCACACTGGGGAAAAACCTTACAAGTGTAGAGAATGTGGGAAATCCTTTAGGAGAGGATGTTTCCTTACCATACACCGGAGAGTCCACACTGGAGAAAAGCCTTACGAGTGTAGAGAATGTGGGAAATCCTTTAGGGAAAGGTGTTCCCTTACTAAACACAAGAGAGTCCACACTGGAGAAAGGCCTTATAAGTGTGGTAAGTGTGGGAAATCTTTTACTCAACGCACCCACCTTGTTAGTCACAGCACAATTCACACTGGAGAGAAGTCTTATGAATGCAATGAATGTGGGAAAACTTTTAGGCAAAAGTCTGTTCTCATTAGACACCAAGTAGTTCACAATGGAGAAAGGCCTTATAAGTGTGGTGAATGTGGGAAATCTTTTAATCAGCGCTCCAACCTTATTTCTCACTGGGGAATTCACACTGGAGAGAAGTCTTTTGAATGCAGTGAATGTGGCAAAACCTTTAGACAGAAGTCTGTTCTTATTAGACACCAGGTAGTTCACAATGGAGAAAGGCCTTACGAGTGTAAACAGTGTGGCAAATCCTTTAAACGAGGATACGCCCTTACTGTGCATCAGAGGGTCCACCTGGAGAAAGGCCTTATCAGTATAGACAGTGTGGCAAATCCCTTAAGTGAGGATACACCCTTACTGTATAGAGAGTTCACCCTGGACAAAGACCTCATGAATGCAGAAAATGTTGGAAATCTTTCACACAACATTCATCTCCTTCAACCCCAACAGCATCGCATCTTAGAAAGGCCTCATGAAACTAGTGATTATAGGACAGCTTTCAGCCCAAGTTCCAACATCATTGAGCAGCAGAAAGTCCCTGCTTGGGAACAACTTTAGATCTGACAGGAATGTGCTTTTTGGTCAGTTTATCTATACTAGAGAGCCTTTGTGCCAGTACTTAACCCACACACTTCCAGATGTCTGGTGGGTGAGATTCCTGGAGTTCAGACACTGGGTGAGACTTCCAGAAACTGTTCTGCACATTATGAGCATTCCAGGGCCTTACCAGAGTAAAATCATTCTTGGCAAAATCCACCCTGGTGTGGTAAAGCAAGCCACATATGTCTCTTTCCTCCCTGGAAATCTTGAGTAGCCTGCTCGATTGGGGGAACTTTTCCCTTTTCTGAATACTCATACCATGATACCCCCAATAGTGCCAAAGGGACTCGCTCCTAGTTCCACTTGTGCTTCCAAGGCAGGCCTCATTTTCCATGGAAATTGTTGCTCTCACACAGCTCCTGTAGCTGATGTTTCTAGTCTCCAAGTTGACTGGCTACTGCCTGCCTCACATTTATACGCTTGTACACTAATAAAGGCCTTATTGTTGAATCCATCTTGAGCCATGATTGTTGTAACCATATGGGGTGGGCTCGTATAGAATGTATTTCATTTATGTGAGGGAACATACCATTTTAAAGGAACCACAACATATGTGCCTCAGTAGGGAGAGTATAACAGGAAAGTAATACCTATTCCAGTTTTGACCTATGTGGATTGCTATCCAAGACCTCCCATGAAACAATGTGAAACTTTGTGGTCCTAATCTGTGACCTGGAACTTCCCTATTTATGAGGTCAGCGGTCACTTAGGTGGGGTCAGTTGTGACAATTTGCATTGACACTGATTACCATGAGTTTGTTCCATTTGTCACAGTTGATATTGCCTGAGACCAGGCACTTTTTTGGGGGGAGGGGGCAGTACTGGGCTTCAAACTCAAAGGCTTTGTGCTTGCAAGGTAGGCACTCTACCACCTGAGCTGTTTTTGCTGTGGTTGCTTTGGAGATAGGACCTCACTTTTTGCCCAGGCCACCTTGGGCCACGATCCTCCTATTTTACACGTTCTGCTTTTGCTGGGATAACGAATATGACCATGGGACCCAGTTTTTTCCTTTTTTTTTGCATTGAGGTGAGGTCTTGCAAACTTTTTTGTGAGGGCTGACCTGGAACTGGGATCCTCCTGACCTCAGTCTCCTAAATAACTAGAATTACAAGTGTCAGCCACTGGTGCCTGCCTGCTCAAGCACTTTTTGGAGAAGACATTTCCACAGATTATACAAACAGGCACATTGTCTGATGTCCATAATTCAACCACCTCCTAATAGTTCTCTTAGGCCTTTGTAGAGCATCACAGGCCCAAACAATAGCAGTAGGCCTAAGGATGCAGATTTGGAGACAATACTGTGTTGCTAAATCTGATAGCATCCCACAAATGTTGGTTCTGATCATGTTGTTAGTATCAATGTCCCATGACAGTGTGACACAGAAACTGAGCACATGGCTTCAGGAGCAAGCATGCACATTCTTAGACTATATTATTTCTACTACTATTATTGACACCACCAGGTTTTGAACTCAGGGCCTCACACTTGCCAGGCAGGCACTGTTACCACTTGAGCCACTCTGCCAGCCCAAAGTGAGGGATAGGAGAGATTCTCTCTCTCTCCCTCTCTCTCTCTCTCTCTCTCTCTCTATATATATATATATATATATATATATTTTTTTTTTTTTTTTTTTTGTGGGACAGGGGTCTGAACTTAAGGCTTCATGCTTGCAAAGCAGGTACTCTATTGCTTGAGCCACACCTCTGATCCAAGCATGCACATTCTTAATGTAGATATCACAAAGACAATGGAACTGATATTTAACCTCTTATGGCCCAGTTACTTCATCCATGTAACAGGAATAATAATACTGACCTTAATAGCACTTCATGTGGTCCATATGAATTGATAGCTGTAAAGGTGGAGGCATAGAAAATGATATCATAACAAGTTCTAAACACACTTTTCTTAAAATAAAGTAAATGAATATTGAGTTCTCTTCACTTCATTCCTGGAAGCCAGCTTATCTAGAAACTGGTCTGATGGAAACAATGAGGAGAGTGCCTTTACAGTATGAAAAGGCCCCGTTTACAGGGTTCCTCTGATCACTTTACCCTAGAGCTTTTCTGTAGGTTAGGTAAGAGGTTCCTATCCTTTCTCAGGAATAAAGGGGGAGCCTTGGATAAGTTCCATCATTGCCACTTGTCAGCTGTGTAGGAGAACATTCTGTATCCTGAGAATTCCCATGCTTCTCATGACTTCAGCATCTACCTCTGAGTATGTCTGACTGCCAACTGGACACATCTTCCCACATTTCCCTCTTTATCTCTCCCATTTGCATCTCCTCTTTCTTCTTCTTTCTTGTTCTCTTCAGTTGTGGGGTTTGAACTAAAGACCTTGTACTTGCTAGGCAGGCGCCCTACCATCAGATCCATGCCTCCAGTCCGCTATTCCCCCTTTCTATCAGCAAATGATCTCCAGGCACCATGCTACATTCATCTGGCAAAGACTACTTGACTTCCTTTTTGCACTGTGCAACCCCATCATTCTAATCCACTGAAAAGATACAGGCAACTCCAGTAAATATGCACATATTTTATAAGGATTCTGGGTGTGTATGGGGAGAGGGGAACTGGAGTCTGAATTCAGTGCTTCAGCACTCTAGTGCTTGAGTCAGACTCCAGTTCATTTTGCTCTGGTTATTTTGGAGAAGGAGTATCTAGAACTATTTGCACAGGTGGGCTTATGCATCAGAAAATCAAAGAAATCACAGCAGACAAAAGGGTACCAATGTGATTTTTCTTTTAATTTTATTCTCTTTTGTTTTTTTGGTGCTGGGATTGAACCCAGGACCTCACGCATGCTAGACAAGCAGTCTACCACTGAGCTGCGTCCCAGCCCAAGGTGAAGTTTAAAGTTCACTACAGCAGATACCTTTATACCTTGGTCATCAGGACAAGGAGAAAGTGGAGGGCATGAAGTAGTTCCCTGCCCCCAGGTCTGGCAGTGAAGGAGGTGAAATGAACCAGACACACAGAACTGAATTAAAATTTTGAAAAAAAAGGAGCACCCTCTCTTGGGACTCTCCCCACTATCCCCTGCAACTCTGGGGACTCAACTCTCTCACTTTAATCTTTTCTATCTCGTAAACTCTCCTGCTTTACATTTTAAAAAAGAAAGAGAAGTAACGGCCTGGGGGCACAGGTCAAATGATGTACGGCTTACCAACCATGAGTTCAAACCCTAGAACCACCAAACAATAAAAATAAGAATTCTGATGAGCTGTAGAAAGGAGAAATGTTGGAAATTTAAAATATGTCATGAATATGAAGTGTCCCGCACAGGCTCATATATTGGGGGCTTGGTTGCCAGCTGATAGGCTTTGGGGAAGTTATTAGGACTCTGACCTTGTTAGTGGATTAATCTGTTGAGGCATTCATGATATATTCATGATATTCACGGCAGGATTGGAAAGTGGTGAAAAGTAGGAGTTGGGGCCCAGATTGAGGTAGGTCATAGGGTATATCCTTTGAAGCTATATCATGCCTGACATTTTTCTGTATTAGCTTTCTCTGCTCCCTTGCTGACATGATGTGAGCAGCTCTGCTATGCCCTCCCTGCCATGACAGCGTACATCTTCTGAAATGGTGAGCCTCCTTTGAACTAACCCAGTCACAGCAAAGGAAAATCTGACTAATATGACACAATTACTTCCACCGGTGGAACTGGAGATCATTTTCTTAAGTGAAATCAGCTAGGCACAGAAAGACATTCTCATATCATCTCACATGTGGAATCTGAAATGTTGATCACATAGAAATTAAGAGTAGGGTGGTGATTAGGGGAAAAGTTTCATCAATGGGAATTTAAGTTACAGTTAGATCAGAGCAAGAAATTCTCTTGTGCTATTACATGCTACAATGACTCAAAAGTAACATACTGCACGTCAAAAAGCTAAAAGGAAGGATTTTGTTTCCACCATGAAGAAATAACTGAGGGGATAGACATGTTTAATGTTATTTAAACATCACATAATCTGTACAGGTCTCAAAACTTTGCATGGTACCATATTAACATGTAGATTACTTTTGTTTTAATCCAAAATAATTTTTAAAATAAAATGTATAATAGATTCAAACTCTTTTATGGATTCTTTAATGAAAATGTCTGGGGAAATAACATCACAGCTGAGACTTGAAGCCTGAGTAGTAGTAAGCTAGGGGGTTACTTTGAAGAGGAAGAATGAGCCAGATGGAGGAACAGAATTGTGAAAGACCCTTAGGTGGCAAAAGATCAAGTCCTTGATAGAGGTAACATAACATCTGACTTGTTGCTCCATCCCTGAGCGTGGCAACAGGCAGGTGGTGGCACACACATTTGTGAACATTTCCTGAGTGGTGTTTGAGTGAAACCTGGCCTGCAAGTCAGATACCCTGGTTGATATTTCTGTGGATCCTGGTGAATTCCATTGTTGGCTGTCTATACAGAACCTTCCTGTCCCATTTTCTACATCTATTAAAATATATTTAGCTGCATGTATCAGAAAACTGGCTTCGCCCTGAAGGAAATTTACCTCACCCACTAAGAAGCTCCAAGAGGCAGCTGGCTTCAGACTTGTTTGGTGCAGCAGCCTAGTGATGGGATTAAGAGCAGCAAGGATCTCTCTATTCCTCTCCCTAGTACATCCCTCTAACTCGTCTTCAGATTGGCTTCCTTTTAGGGAGGGATATAGCACAGTGCTGGGACATCAGGCTCCCCTGTTCAGCTTTCTGCACTCTCACTGCAATAAAAGTTTTTTCTTCAACTGAGGATGCAGTTTAGGTTAAGCATACCTTCCACTAATTGATTTACAGTTGACACTTGAAGAAGATGGGGTTGAACTATGCAGGTCTAATTATAGGTAGGTACTTTGTTTTTAGAACTTCGCTGCCCTTTGAAAAAAAAAAACTCACAGATGAAGTATGTATCCTAGAAATAATAGAATTTTTTCAAGAGTTATGTACTGAAGACAAAAATATATGTAACTAATAACTATAGTTCTCCATCATAAAATGTACACAAATAAGTTATGAAAGGTTAAAATTTATCAAAACATAGGTATACAAACCATGGATGATGTCATTCATAGTTGAAAAAAATATAAAAAACTTGTATTAAATCATAATTCCATAAAGTAACAATCTTGTATTGCTGCAGTTTCATAGTCACTTCTGGTTGCTATTGCAGTGACTCCACATTTTTTGAGTTGTGCTTAAAAACATGCTATTTATGGAATTATCACAATGAAACCCACTCATATTATTACTGTATTCTGACTCAAAACTAAAATAAAAATTAAAAAGAAACCCACGATGCTAGTCATCTTCACTCAGATAGTTCATGTCCAGTAAATTGTGTCTGACAGTAAAATTTTATTTCTCAGTATGTATATGTATAGGTATATGTATATATATTATGTAACATTCAAGCTATGTGTTGATTGACTGTGTAATTGGTAAGTCTTCTTGACGACAGTTGGCTTTTCAAGAGTCAA